CGCCCAGGCTGGAGTGCAGTGGTGCGATCTTGGCTCACTGCAAGCTCCGCCTCCCGGGTTCACACCATTCTCCTGCCTCAGCCTCCCGAATAGCTGGGACTACAGGCGCCTGCCACCATGCCCTGCTAATTTTTTTGTATTTTTAGCAGAGAAGGGATTTTGCCATGTTAGCCAGGATGGTCTCGATCTCCTGATCTCGTGATCCGTCTGCCTCGGCCTCCCAAAGTGCTGGGATTACAGGCGTGAGCCACTGTGCCTGGCCTAGGATTTTCTAAAGAAACTGGAAATCAAAATTTTAATGTAAAATCTCCTTATATACTTAAAAGTGGGCATCTTTTAAAAAATTTATAGGCCAGGCATGGTGGCTCATGCCTGTAATCCCAGCACTTTGGGAGGCCAAGGCAGGCGGATCACCTGAGGTCAGGAGTTCAAGACCAGCCTGGCCAACATGGCGAACTCCATCTCTACTAAAAACACAAAAGCTAGCCAGGCCTGGTGGTGTGTGCCTATAATCCCAGCTACTTGGGAGGCTGAGGCAGGAGAATCACTTGAGGGGAGGTGGAAGTTACAGTGAGACGAGATCGTGCCATTGCACTCCAGCCTAGGTGACAGAGCAAGACTCTGTCTCAAAAAAAATTTTTTTTTTTACATCACTATGTTGGTTGGCCAAACATACCATGCCTGTAAGCCAATTCCAGCACACAGGCTATCAGTTTGGGACCTTTGCTCTAGGAATACCAACAATTTAATAATAATAGCTGCTACTTTTTGAGCACAGAATGGTTTAGTAACTTGCCCAAGGTCTCACAACTAGTAATGGAGGAGTTAGGACTTCATCCCACCTGTGTGACTCCAAAGCCTGGGCTGTTTAAGCATTACTCTGTTCTACCCCCCAACATATATTTCTCAATACAGCCTTCTAAGGCTAGAGTCAGCAATCTTTTTTCTGTTATGTGACAGATAGTAAACATTCTTGGCATTGCATGACACATTTGGTCTCTATTGTGACTACTCAACTGCCACTGTAGTACAAAATCAGCCACAGACAATCTGTAAATGAACGAGCATGGCTGTGTTCCAATAAAACTTTATTTACAAATACAGGTGGTGGGCCAGATTAGGACATTGGCAGTAGTTTGCTAACATCTACTTTAAGGAAATAAGTATCTACATTTTACAGCCCGAAAAGCCAGAGTTCAGGAGGGAAGATTTGACTCGTTTGGGCCACACTCTGTGTTAACACTGACCCAAGCAACACTTTATTGACTCTATCAGATATTCCGTACTTACTTGAAATACATGTGATTTTTTCTAAAAATACTCCACAATGTACAATCATCTCCCTGCCTCCATACAAGGCAGGGGGTTCACAGGCTGCTGACTGTAATGCAAGAATGTAAAAGACCATTTATTCTTGAATGAAAATCATCACCTCTGGGTCACTGTTCCAGCAGAAACCCAAGTAGCTAATAACAGAAGAATTCTATAAAGAATTCTGCAAAGAGGTAGGTAGCCCCCACAGGCAAAGTCCAACGCCAGCTTCCCAAATGCACACTTGTGGTGCCTCCCCCGAGCCCAGGCCCCTCTTTGAAGCGATCTGAGACATAAGGCAATAGCTAGAGGCAACGTGATCATTCATTTTCAAACTCTCAGCGTATGCCAAGGGTATAGAATCCCCAGATAAGATAACCAGGTGAACGTTTATTTCCTGATTGCAGAACCAACCTATGTCAGCAGGAACATTATTGATTTGAGTGTCAAGTATTGAAAGTCTCAGCAGAACATGGTTACAGAAACTGATGAGCGTGGGCCTGCTAACAGGAAGTCTGGGCCCTGGCCAGCTTCCAGCCACAAAGCTCCATTAGCGCAGCGAGGGAGGCCTCAATTCAAGGACTCCCAAGGCCATTACACAGATGAGATGGGTAGCTGCCTCCTGTGCAGACCACAGTTACAGTAAGCAGAACTGATGTACGATGGCAGAACGAACCTCAGGACTTCAGGACCCATGGGCATGAGATTAAGGGTAACCTGGGCAGCTCTCTCTTCAGAGAGTTTAGGGGGATGAGTATGTTCTTGGTCTGTACTATGTACTGGCGACTTCTGGCATAGCATTGCAGTATCGATAGCTTCACTGTACAAACAACCACAATGAGGACCCATGTTTTTTTTTTTTTTTGATGGAGTCTTGCTCTGTCTCCGAGGCTGGAGTGCAGTGATGCCATCTTGGCTCACTGCAACCTCTGCCTCCTGGGTTCAAGCAATTCTCCTGCCTCAGCCTCCCATGTAGCTGGGATTACAGGCTTGTGCCACTGTACCCGACTAATTTCCGTGATGGTTAATTTTATGTGTCAACTTGGCAAGGCCATGGTATCTATCTACCTGTTTGGTCAAACACCAGACTAGATGTCACTATGAAGGTATTTTATAGATGTGATTAGCATTTAAATCAGTAAACTCTGAGTAAAGCAAACTACCTTTCAGGATGTGGGTGGGACTCAATCAGTTGAAGGCCTTCAGAGAAAAGAGAGAAGGAATTCTTCCTCTAGACAGCAACAACAACTGGGTCTCCAGCCTGCTGACCTGTCCTGCAGATTCCAGACTCACCAGCCCCCACAATCATGTGAGCCAATTCCTTAAAATAACTAAATCAATTTCCCTCTCCCTCCACACACACACACACACACACACACGCACACACACACACACACACACACACACACACCCCTCTCTCTGGGTCTCCAGCCTGCTGACCTGTCCTGCAGATTCCAGACTCACCGGCCTCCACAATCATGTGAGCCAATTCCTTAAAATAACTAAATCAATTTCCCTCTCCCTCCACACACACACGCACACACACACACACACACACACACACCTCTCTCTGGGTCGCCAGCCTGCTGACCTGTCCTGCAGATTCCAGACTCACCGGCCCCCACAATCATGTGAGCCAATTCCTTAAAATAACTAAATCAATTTCCCTCTCCCTCCACACACACACACACACACACACACACACGCACGCACGCACCCTCTCTCTATATTGGTTCTGTTTCTCTAGAGAATCCAGACTCATACAGGCCCAGAGCGGGGACGATGGCTTGCCCAAGATCCCAAAGCTGGTGACCGGCAAGAACGTCTAGAGTGCCAGCTAGAGAGGAAATGGACGAATTCCCCCCACCTCTGATACCATCCTAATCCAAGCTGCCCTCATTTCTCACCAAGGTTATCACAATAGTTTCCTTACTGGTCCCTCTGCCTCCACTCTTGAGCCCTGAGGGAAGCCAGTGGGATCCTTTTCAAAACACGAGTCAGACCTCCGTGTCCTCTGCTCAGAACCCTCCAGTGGCTCCCATCTCACACAGAGTAAAAGCCAGGCTTTACACAGGTCCCCCCACCCCTCTGACTTTGCCTCCTGTCGCCTCCCACCATCACCACCACTCTCTCTGGCACAGGGGCCTCCTTGTTTCACAAGCAAGGTGTCCAGGCCTTTGCAGCTGCTCTTCCCTGTGCTGGGAATGTCCCCCCGAAACCCCCCACAGCTGCACGGCTCCCTCCCTCAGGTCCTTCAGATCTGGGCTCAGATGTCTTCTTCTTAGATGACATCTTCCTGCCACACTGTCTGAAGCAGCCCCGCTTTGTGACCGCCCCCCATGCTGTTTCCCTCCCTGCTTCCTGGCCCCTCACTAGAAGGTCGGTTCTTCCTGAGGGCAGGGACTTGTCCCTTTTGTTCAATGCAGTGTCTGAAACAGTGTGGGGCACTGAGCAGGCACTCAAGAAATACGTGTTACATTAATACACAAATGAATGAACAAATGAATGAATGATCAAGCTAAGGATGGCACACAAATGCAATCCCACGTGGTAAGTGCCATGACAGGGGCAAGGACGGTGAGCCCAGAAGAGACAGCATACAGCCTCCGTGGGGAAGGCCTGAATAATGAAGACACACAGAAGTTGGCCAAGCAAAGGCTGGTGGGTAGAGAATTCCTGGCAAGGGGAACAGGCTGGGCAAAAGCCCAGCAGAGAACGAGGGAAGCGCAGATGGTATGGAGATCTATTTGGGTACCGAAATCTGTTCAGAGCACAAGTCGGGGATGAGACTCACAGGAGATAAGGCAAGAACAGTAGTTCTCAAAGTGTGGTCCATGAACCCCTAGGGGGCCCAGAACACTTTCTGGGGGTGAGGAAGGGGCAGCAAGCTCTAGTTTCCTACTGAGACACAGTTTGCTTTTTCAGTGTTTTGATATTTGTGCTAATGGTACAAAAGCAATGATGGGTAAAACTTCTGGAGCTTCTGGAGGATTCAGACAATGGCCCCTCCAAACTGAATGAGTATTCTTCACCACCGTGCACTCACAGTGTTTATTTTTATTTTTATTTTTTTGAGATGGAGTTTCACTCTTTTGCCCAGGCTGGAGTAAAGTGGTGGTGAGATCTTGGCTCGCTGCAACTTCTGCCTGCCAGGTTCAAGTGATTCTCCTGCCTCAGCCTCCAGAGCAGCTGGGATTACAGGTATGCACCACCACACCTGGCTAATTTTTGTATTTTTAGTAGAGACGGGGTTTTGCCATGTTGGCCAGGCTGGTCTCGAACTCCTGACTTCAGGTGATCCACCCGCCTTGGCCTCCCAAAGTGCTGGGATTACAGGTGTGAGCCACCATGCCAGGCCCACTCACAGTATTTTAGAAAGTTTTTCAATTAAAACGATAAAGCCAACTGCACTTAAAATCACCTTGAACACAAATGGTTCACTTTATTAAATCCTGACCTTCAAGGTCACTGCCCTTTAACGTCCTGTGTGAGGAAATGAGAACTATGCATAAGGCATGCCTGCTGCCCATGAAAGCATGATGGCTGCCTAGAGATCTTGTTCTTGTGCAATTGTCTTGAGTTGTAGGCTGAACTAGCCACTTTATTTTGCAGAATATCATTTTTACTAAAAAACAACTGACAACTGGGCATGGTGGCATGCATCTATAGTTCCAGCTACTTGGGAGGCTGGGACAGGAGAACTGCTTGAGCCCAGGCAGTCGAAACCAGCCTGGACAACATAGCAAGACCCATACTCTCTTAAAAATGAACAAACTGAGCTGATCACTTCAAAGGAAACAAACTAAAGATATTTATTGCCAATGACAAAATTTGAGCATTCAAGCAAAAATGAGAACTTTGGAAAACATGTGTCCACCAGCCTGAACATGACAGCTTCTCAATTTTTTTTTTTTTTTTTTTTTTTTTTTTTGACAGGGTCTCAATCTGTCACCCAAACCGGAGTGCAGTGGTGCAATCATGGTTCACTGCAGCCTTGACTTCCTGGCCTCAAGTGATCCTCCCATCTCAGGTTCCAGAGTATCTGGGACTACAGGCATGTGCCACTGTGCCCAGCTAATTTTTGTATTTTTTGTAGAGATGAGGTTTCACCATGTTGCCCAGGCTGGTCTCAAACTCCTGGGCTCACACCTGTAATCCCAGCACTTTAGGAGTGGTGGTGGGCGCCTGTAATCCCAGCTACTCAGGAAGGCTGAGGCAGGAGAATCGCTTGAACCTAGGAGGTGGAGGTTGCAGTGAGCCGAGACAGCACCACTCTGTCTCAAAAAAAAAAAAAAATCCACTGCTCTATCTTGCACTTGGATGTAACTTTGCCCCACCCATGATCCTGTAACATCATGCACTGGTCACTTAGAAAATATTGGTTTACTGTGTTATGCAGATCTTCCAAAAGTTGACATATTACACAATATTTTTAAAAAATTACATCCGCCAGGCACAGTAGTGCACACCTGTAGTACCAGCTACTCAGGAACCGGAGGCAGGAGAATCACTTGAACCCAGGAGGCAGAGGTTGCAGACAGCCAAGTTCCCGCGCCTGTAATCCCAGCACTTTGGGAGGCCGAGGCAGGTGGATCACTTGAGGTCAGGAGTTCAAGACCAGCCTGGACACCATGATGAAACCCCATCTCTACTAAAAATAGAAAAACTAGCCAGGCATAGTGGCATGTGCCTGTAATCACAGCTACTCAGGAGGCTGAGGCAGGAAAATCATTTGAACCCAGGAGGCAGAGGTTGCAGTGAGCCGAGATCACGCCACTGCACTCCAGCCTCGGGCGACAGAGTGAAACTCTATCTCTAAAATAAAAAATAAAATAAAGAAATCAACAGATGGGTCAGGAGGGACGTTGCAGAGGGGCCAGTGACAGAGAAGAAACTCAGCAGAACATGGGCCTAGAAGGACAAGGCAGGCGAGGAAGAGAATGACTGTAGCACTGACTGCCACCAGGAGGTCAAGTCCAGCAAGTCATATCCATGGGAGTCAGCCACCAGGATGCTGCTACTGACCTTGCCAGGAGAGGCTGCAGTGGGCTGAGAAAGGAATTTCTCAGTGGGCGGAGGAAGAAATTGTGAGAGGGCTTCACAGAGGAGGAGAGAGAGTGACAGGGCAGTAAAGAAAGATGTGGGACTGAGTGAGGGCATGGGTTTTGAAGGTGAAAGTATGGCAGGCACAATTCAAAAATGACCCCCGTGACTCTCCTATAACTCTCCCCGCTCCTCTGAGTGTGGGTGGAACCTCTGAATGTGGTATCATTCCTGCAAGCAGGGAGGCTATCCCGTCCGTGACCCGCATTTAATCACATGAGCACAGAAGGGTTTTCTCCTGCTGGTGGCAGAAGGGGATATCAGAGCCATTCAAACGTTCAAAGCACAAGAAGGTCTGAATGCACGCTTGCTATTTGGAGGTGGAAGAGGCCACATGATAAGGAATGCCGGTGGCCTCTAGAAAATAAAGTAACCCCTGTCCGAGGTCAGCAAGGAAACAGGGACCTCAGACCTACAGCCACAAGGAACTGGATTCTGTCGAAAGCTGAACGGGTTTGGAAGTGATTCTTCCCCAGAAACTTCAGCTAAGAGCCCAGCCACGCTGAAAACGTTGATTGCAGCCTGGTGAGACCCTGCGCAGAGAACCCAGGTGAGCCCACCCAGACTCTTGAACCCCACCACTAGGAGGGAGTGAACGGGTGTCGGTTTAAGCTGCTTAGTGTGCGGCAGTTCATCACACAGCAACAGAAAACTAAATTGGCAAGTATTCTATCTGGTGCTGGGTTCTGACTTCTGAGAATAACTTCCTCTGAGAGAAAATCCCCACAGGCTGGGCTCTGGCCCAGCAGCATGCCTGGCTTGACTCACTGCAGCGTGCTCTGTGGACACCACATGGCAGGAGTACTCTGGTCCACGAGAGGGAGCTAAACAAGACGCTGCCCTTCCATAGCTGGAAGCTGCAGGGTGTTTAGCCGTGAAGGGTTAGAAAGTTCCTCTCTCTCAGGCTGGAGATCCATTTGACGGTGCCACAAAGCAAGAGTCCACCAAAATAACGAGACCTAACATGTCCTGGCCAGAGGCCTGTGCATGGCACAGAGCAGAGCCCGAGACCGAGCCCACCAGCTCGGACAAGGTTACCTTCTTGCGCGGCCGAAGCTTGTCCCGCCATTCCTTCAGGTTCTGATTATGGCTCTCATCCAGCGCCTTCAGCTTCTGGGTCTCGTGCTCTACCAGGAGGTGGCACTTTTCATTCTGGAACAAATTCCAGGCAGAACAGGTGAGAAATCAGAAGACACAGGCCCTGAAGACTGAGACACACCTCATGCTGTGGCCACGAGGGCCCAGCATTGTTCATTTATTATTTCTTCTTCTTGAGTATAAATCCCATTTATTCAAACTCTATATGTAAATCACATGCACCAAGAAGTGCCTGGAGGAACAGTCCAGAATATGTTAACAGTTCTTATTAACTCTGTGGTGGGGATGTGTGGTAAATTTGCAACTTTCTGTGAGGATATAGCAAGAAGGCAGCTGTCTGCAAGCCAGGAAGGGAGCCCTCACCAGAACCCAACCATGCTGGCGCCCTGATTTCAGACTTCCAGCCCCCAGAACTGTGAGAAAGAAGTTTCTGTTGCTTAAGCATCATGGTACTTTGTTACGGCAGCCTGAGCTAAGATACTCTGTATGTATCACATAGAATTTCCTCAGGGAAATCTGTGGCAAGGAATGAGGGTCACTGACATGGGTGAGACTCTTCCAACCTCACTGTTCCTTCTCTGAGGTAAGTTATCTGCTTTATAAAATGTAAATCTCTCTCATAGGCAGCAGTGACAAGTGCCTGTTGATTTCTTGCAGAGAATCAGTCTTGTCATGAGGAGCTTATAAAGCAGGGGGAAAATGCCTTTATCCAGATACCACGACCCTGCTGGGTTGGGAAAGTAGAATCCTTTGGGCGATTTTCATTTTGGGTTTCATGCTAGAGGCTTCTGGGAGTTGAGAACTTGGCTGAGTGAGAAGTAATACTCGCAGCAGCGCTGAGTTCCTGTGGCCTGCCAGGAGCTGTGCTCGGCGCTTCATATGGGCTCTCCCAGTGCTCACAGAAACCCGAGGCAGGGATAGGAAAACAGATGCAGAAGGTGAATGGCTTGGTCAAAAGTCACACAGTGACAATCAGCAGAGCCCTGCCGGGCAGGCCTCAACACCTGGAATGTTTCCTCCACGCCTCCCTGCCTCTCCAGAAAATGCCCGATGAGTCCAACAGCCTGAGCAGTTCCTGAGGTTCGAATCGGCCCTGTCCCAAGGGGGCTTCAAGTACTAGCTCCTGGGGCCAGGACCCTCAAGCGTGGGGCAAACCCAGGGGCCAGGAAGCCTGAAGAGGTCAGGAATTACCACAGGAAAAGCAGCCCACAAGGGGCTCGGCCACACCCCGACCACCTTTGCCCAAAACACAGTGATGACGCAGAAACCCTGCAGCAGCCCACTGCCAGCTTCGTCGCTTCACTCACAAGCCCTTGCCCCAATCCTGTACAGCAGGAAGGGTCATCCCCACACCCATTTCAGGGCTGTGAGAGCTTTGGCTTAGGAGGGTCATGTGATTTGGCCAACCTCACACAGCTCTAGAGCAGCATGGCAGGACTGGAACCTGTCCACCCCGGGCCTGTCTGACAAAGACTGTTTCCAGCTGTGGAGTTTCTGGCCCCCTGAGAGCTGATGGCCTTGGGGAAACTGAGGCAGCCTGGGGCAGGGGCAGGCAGGGCGGTACCTGCAGCTGCTGCAGCTCGCTCATGTTGCTCTCGCACTGCGCCAGCATGTCCCGCATCTGGTTCTCGTGTTTCTGCTGTTGCTGCAGCCGCTCCGACTTCTGCCTCTTCTCCTCCTGCTGGGAGAACTGCACCAGAGAGAGGGTGGGTGCCTCAGAGGGCCAGGGCCTGGCTGGTTGGGTAGGGAACCCACCTCAGCCCTGGCCCAGGGAGACCCCTCAGGGGTACTGGTCTGTGCACAGCCCCAGTACCCAGCACCACCTGTGCCCGTGCTAAGTCCTCACCCTGAGCTGAGACCCAGCCCCTGCCCTCAAGGAGCCCCCAGGCTGGTGGGGACATGACACAGTAATTGACACATGCCAGGAAAGTGTGTGTACCAGGCAGGAATCACAAGGGCCCATGTGCCCGAGCCACAAGGGCAACACAGGATGTGGGGAAGCTGGCCAAATACAAGCGTGGGAGTGCGGAAGGGAAGGGCGCAGGAGAATCAGCAACACAGCACCAAGCTCTCTCTGTCCACACACCGAGGTGAATTCACCATGAGGCTGACGAAGCTTCCAGGGCATGCCTGGCGACTCACACACCCCCTCCCAAGACCTTATGGCGAGCAGGTCGGGGTGCATTTTTCTTTTTTTTTTTTAAGATAGAGTCTCGCTCTGTCGCTCAGGCTACAGTGCAATGGTGCAATCTCGGCTCACTGCAGCCTTCCAAGCCATTCTCCTCCCTCAGCCTCCTGAGTAGCTGGGATTACAGGCACGTGCCACCATGCCCAGCTAGTTTTTATATTTAGTAGAGACAGGGTTTCACCATGTTGGCCAGACGGGTCTTGAACTCCTGCACTCAGGGGATCCCCCTGCCTCAGCCTCCCAAAGTGCTGGGTTTACAGGCATGAGTCACTGCACCCAGCCTTTTTATTTTGAGACAGAGTCTTGCTCTGTTGCCCAGGCTGGAGTGCAGTGGCTCAATCTCGTTTCTCTGCAACCTCCGCCTCCCAGGCTCAAGCGATTCTCCCATCTCGGCCTTCCAAGTAGCCAACACACCTGGCTAATTTTATTATTACTATTATTTGTAGAGATGGGGTTTTGCTATGTTGCCCAGGCTGGTCTCAAACACCTGGGCTCAAGTGACCCACTCACCTCGGCCTCTCAAAGTGTTGGGTTTACAGATGTGAGCCAGCCTGCATCTTGTTTCATATTCTCCAAAATCGTGTAAGGCCCAGGCCCCAGCAAACCCGGCCCTGCCTGCACTCCAGCACACTGGCAGAGCCGCAGGCCGGGCCCCCACCTGCTTGATCTTCTCGCGCTGCTCAGCTGCGCTGCCCCCGCCGCTGATGTGGAGGCTCTTCTTGTACATGGCCATGCGCGTCTTGCCCTCACTCCTCTGGATCTTGGGCAGCCGCGCCTTTTCCTGCTGCTGCCGCACCTTCAGCTGCTCTATCATGCGCTGGTTGTAGCGCTGCATCTGCTCCCGCTCCTGGAGAGGAACATCCAGGGGGGCTGGGGTCAGCTGCACTCCGGACTTGGAGTGTGGACACAGGCTAAAGCTCCCCACACTCCACTTAGGGGCCCAGGACCAACGCGGCCCATGATGTTCAACAGAGCAAGGCTTCTGTTATTTTGCTTCTACGCTAATAACATTTTTTTTTGTTCTCACTTTAAAAATTCTTGTTAATAATATCTTGGATTCTTACCTTCTAAATGCCTTTTCATCTAATCAATGATGGCATGCCATCATTAGCTAATATCTCAAAGCAAAATGTACACGAAAGGGGATGGTTTCTCATTAGTGATGGCAGATGTGAATTTATATTTTAAAAAACCCTGATACATCTGAATTTTTTCCTTCCCCTAACACCTATTTGTATTTCAAAGCTCAGCATGGGTATCACCTCCTCCAAGAAGCCTTCCCTGATTTCTTCACCTGGTTAGGTAGCCTTATTCTGAACTCCCATGGCCCTATACTGACTTCCATCACTGCATTTAGATAAGAAACTGGAATTATACACAGCTGCTGTGCATCCACTGCATCCAGATCTTGGTTTGTCTGTCACTGTCCCACTATGAAGGCTGAACTGAGACAATTCCTGCAGGAGAGGGTGCTTTGGCCACACAGATCAGGGGCCCTCACCAGCTCTGGGGAGTTCAGGGAAGGCTTCCCAGCAGAGGTGGTGTTTAGGTGGAGACCTAAAAGTATTCTGAGGGAATGCACAAGAAAGAGAGAAACAAAGAGAAAATGGAAAGGGAGGACAAGAGGGAAAAGAAAGAGTAAAACAAAGACACACCGGGCGGGCGTGGTGGCTCACGCCTGTAATCCCGGCACTGTGGGAGGCCGAGGCGGGCAGATCACTTGAGGTCAGGGGTTTGAGACCAGCCTGGCCAACAAGGTTAAGCCCAACTCTACTGAAAAAAAAATACAAAAATTAGCCGGGCATGGTGGTTAGCACCTGTAATCCCAGCTACTTGGGAAGCTGAGGCAGGAGAATCGCTTGAACCCCAGAGGCGGAGGTTGCAGTGAGCCTAGATGGCGCCACTGCACTCCAGCCTGAGCAACAGAGCAAGACTCCATCTCAAAAAAGAAGAAAAAAAAAAAGACACACACAGCAAGTAACAGAGTCAGCGAGGGAGCTGCTTAGGCCATTGGCTTCCCTGCATGGTTTGCCCTATTCCTGGTCCCTTGAGCTGAAGCAGGACACCCCTGGAGAACCTCTTGGGGCCTCACTGCAGCCAGCCCTGGGTCCTCTTGGGGGCACTTGTCATCCAAAGTGTGCACCCAAGACGTGCCCCACCACATCCAGCCTCACGGTTCTCCCAGGTCGGCCCGGCAGCAGACCGGAGCCCCACGCCACCGGCAGCCTCACCTTCTCATGCTTGCGCAGCAGCTCGTGCCGCTGGAGGAAGTACTGGTCTTTGAGCTGCTGCTTCACTAGCTGGTGCCTCTCCTGCAGCTGGTGCTCCTCCATCTCCCACAGGGCCGCTTCCCGGTCTGCGGAGGACATGCCACACACCTGGTGAGGTGCTGACATCCAGAGACCTGACAGGCCCTCTGCCCCGCTCCTCTGCCTGGCCTCCTCATGCTGGAGATCACCGACCTGCTAGGCTCAGGAATCGCCACATGTGCTACCTCATTAGACCATGTTGGCTGACCTGAGCTGAGGCCTAGAAACTTCCTTTAAACCTAAGGAATGATAGCTCCCAGCAGCATGGTAGAGCACGAAGTGCTCAAAGTCAGGAGCCAGAGAAACTGCAGATACAGGCTGGAACCCAGCTCCATCGGTGGGATTAGGAATGGAGAGGTTCTCCAGGCATCAGCTGCCATCTCTGCCGGATGGACACAGCTATACTATGGAGGGAGGGGACGTCCTTGGGAGACACTTTGAAGTGCAAGCCACACTGCATCTCTACTTTCCTGATGCGCACGTGGGAAGGGCTCAGATGCAGACCCCATGAAGAAGACAGAATGGCCTCTTGTCACTATTTCCTCCTTTGAAAAAATGGGTGAGATCCTCTTGTCCCCTGCATGTCCCATGCATGCATTATGCAGACAATGGTATCTGGCATCTTATCACTGGAGGTCTATTAATCCACCCTTGTGCACAGCACCCGGGTGGGGACCTGGAGTCAAAGGGAGAATCTCATGCCCTTCGAGACAGGAGATTATGCTTGGCTCAGTGCGAATGTTGTTTATTTCACTGCATTCCCGTTCCGTGCAAAATGGTATCTGCTTTTGGTATATCAGAATAGTGATTCTGGCTTCCACCCCAAAATCAGAACCACAGTTCCGTAAATAGGGCAGTTCTTACCAACATCATGGGGTAGGAAAAGGAAGTGAGGGCTTTTCTCAAAACAACTGTGCTCTATTCAGAATATTGAAAACTCAAGAAGCCCGTTTTGCTGATCCACACCAATTAATAAGAGGTTTATGTTGCTTAACTGCACTGGTCATCAGAGGCCTGGAGGAGGCCTGTTTTATAAGCGAGCCAAAAATGGCCCTGGGATATGGCCTCATGTTGTTTACTTCCTCACAGCAGGCCCGGACCGCCAAAAGTCCACAGGCACCAAACTCAAATGTATAACCATCCTCTGTTATTTCTAAAACATTAGTATGTACGGCCAGGCACAGTGGCTCACGCCTATAGACCCAGCATTTTGGGAGGCTGAGGTGGGTAGATTGCTTGAGCCCAGGAACTTGAGACCAGCCTGGGCAAAATGGCGAAACCCTGTCTCTACTAAAAATACAAAAATTAGCTGGGTGTGGTGGCGTGCACCTGTAATCACAGCTACTCAGAAGCCTAAGGCATGAGAAGCGCTTGAACAGGGGAGGCAGAGGCTGCAGTGAGCCAGTATTGTGCCACTGCACTCCAGCCTGGGTGACAGAGTGAGACTTGGTCTCAAAAAACAAAAACAAAAACAAAACCCAGGTATATAGCTACAGAAAAAAGCTCAAACAGGGCCGGGCACGGTGGCTCACGCCTATAATCCTAGCACTTTGGGAGGCCGAGACAGGCAGATCACGAGGTCAGGAGATCGAGACCATCCTGGCTAACATGGTGAAACCCCGTCTCTACTAAAAATATGTAAAAAAGTTAGCTGGGCATGGTGGCGGGTGCCTGTAGTCCCAGCTACTCGGGAGGCTGAGGCAGGAGAATGGCGCGGTGACTCACACCTGTAATCCCAGCACTTTGGGAAGCCAAGGCGGGTGGATTACTTGAGGTCAGGAGTTCAAGACCAGCCTGGCCAACATGGTGAAACCCCATCTCTACTAAAAATATAAAAAATTAGCTGGATGTGGTGGCGCAAACCTGTAATCATCCCAGCTATGAAGGAGGCTGAGACAGAAGAACTGCTTGAACCTGGGAGGTGGAGGTTGCAGTGAGCCAAGATTGTGCCACTGCACTCCAGCCTGGATGACACAGTGAGACTCCATCTCAAAAAAAAAAAAAAAAAAAAAGTTCAAACCAAGCAGATATTTAGCCATTTGGAGCCTGCCTACTTTGCATATCGCATGAAACTGCACCTAACATCTGCTAGCCATAGAGAAAAGAGACCCAAGGGCTCCAGAAAGACCCCAAGCCACCGCTGCCCTTTGCAGTTTTCTGATCTAGAGATGCCCCATCTGAGCTCCCCACGCTGGACGACATCATCTAGACATGTGAGCCCCCTCTCAGGTCCCCTTCTTGCCCAAGAGTTCCTTTGCCTTCTTCCCCTGCTGGATGGTGGCCCGCACCGTCACCTCTAGAAGGCCTCATTCTGTAAGGGACCCCCTCAGCGTGTAAACCTGTCAAAATGCCCCCCAAGCAAAGCTGCTTGTATGCTACTGCCATCTTGTGGTCGTTTATTTTTTTCTCAATCAGCCCTGAAATGCCCAGCTTCCTGATATTGTCATCCAAGGCTCAGCTCTATCACCCATTAACTGTGCAACCTCAGTGCTACGATCTGAACGTTTCCGTCCCCTCCAAATGTATATGTTGAAATCTTAACCTCTGAGGTGAGGGTATTAGGAGGTGGGGCCTTTTGGGAGGTGATTAGGTCACGAGGGTGGAGCCCTCGTGAATGGAATTAGTGCCTTTTTATTAATAAAAGAGACCCCAGGCCGGGCACGTTGGCTTATGCCTGTAATCCCAGCACTTTGGGAGGCCGAGGCAGGCAGATCACTTGAGCCCAGGACTTTGAGACCAGCCTGGACAACATAGAAGACCCCATTTATACAAAAAACACAAAAATTAGCCAAGTGTGGTAGCACATGCCTGTAGTCCCAGCTACCTGGGAGGCTGAGGTGGGAGGACTGCTTGAGCCTCAGAGGCAGAGGTCACAGTGAACCATGACTGTGCCACTGCACTCCAGCCTTGGCCACAGAGCAAGACCCTGTCTCAAAACAAAACAAAACAAAAAAACCAAAACACTACAAAACCCCAAAAACCCAGAGACCCCAGAACCGGTCTCCCTCCGCCCCGCTGTGTGAGGAGACAGCGAGGAGCCAGGGACCCCAGAGCCGGTCCCCCTCCGCTGTGTGAGGAGACAGCGAGGAGCCAGGGACCCCAGAGCCCGTCTCCCTCCGCTGTGTGAAGATACAGCGAGGAGCCAGGGACCCCCAGAGCCCGTCCCCCTCCGCCGTGTGAGGAGACAGTGAGGAGCCAGGGACCCCAGAGCCCATCTCCCTCCGCTGTGTGAGGAGACAGCGAGGAGCCAGGGACCCCAGAGCCCGTCCCCCTCCACCGTGTGAGGATACAGTGAGGAGCCAGGGACCCCAGAGCCGGTCCCCCTCCGCCGTGTGAGGATACAGCGAGGAGCCAGGGACCCCAGAGCCCGTCCCCCTCTGCCGTGTGAGGATACAGTGAGGAGCCAGGGACCCCAGAGCCCATCTCCCTCCGCTGTGTGAGGAGACAGTGAGGAGGTGCCACCTATGAAGCACAGAGTAAGCCCGCCCCAGACCACACATGTGCTGGCACCGTGACTGCGGATTTCCCAGCCTCCAGAAGTGTGAGAAACGAACGTCTGTTGTTGATAAGCCACCCAGTCAGTGGTATTTTGTTAGAGCAGCTGAATGAACTAAGATACTTGGCCAAAGAATAGTAACTCTCCAGGCCTCAGTTTCCTCATCTACAGAAATGGGGATAACCCAGGCCCCTGCCCCACAGTGTTAGGTGAGGATTCGGTGAGAGAAAGGTGGAAAAATGGACTGGCACGTGGCCTGGCAGACTGGTTGCTCAGTCCCTGCCAAGCTGTCTCCACCTCCCGTCAACCCAGCTCACTGATTAACCTACTCTATGCCTGTTCCTTTCTCCTCTTGACTTCTGGAATAATGTCAAATAGTCTTGGTGACAACTGGTATCCTTGCCTCGTTCCTTACTTCAGTGGGGGTTTTCCCCAGGTTTCACCATGAAGGATGATGTTTAGTTGTGGGGATGGAGAAGGCCTGGGAGGTTTTTCTTGCCCACCCCACTTCCCAGGGCTGGGATGTCCACAGCGACTCTGGGCCAAGACAGCGCTGCCACTCGAATGCCCCCACCTCGAAGCAGCTCCTGCTTCTTCATGAGGCACTCGCGCTCCTTGCCACAGATCTCCCGCCTGTTGTCGGTGGTGAGCCTCTTCATGGCCAGCTCCAGGTCCTCCTTCTGCTTGGCTACAAAGTCCCGGTCCTGTGGGGAGAGAGGAGGACAGGCCTTTATCCAGAGCTGGCTTGGGCACCTCAATGTCTCTTCCTATTATGGAAGAAAAGC